TGACAACTATTACAAATTTATGCGAATTATTCGCGTCATTTCTGCTAAAGATGATATAACTCACTTGACGGATATAATGATATAACTCACTTGAAGGACATAATGATATAACTCATTTGAAGGATATAATGGTATAAATCATTTGAAAGATACGATGATATAACTCATTTGAAGGATATGATGATATAACTCATTTGAAAGATATAATAATATAGCTATCTCATTGGAAGGATATAATGATATAACTCACTTGAAGGATATGATGATATAACTCATTTGAAAGATATGATGATATAGCTAGCTCATTGGAAGGATATAATGATATAACTCACTTGAAGGATATGATGATATAGCTCATCTGAAAGATATGATGATATAGCTCATTTGAAGTGTATAATGATATATAACTCACTTGAAGGATACGATGATATAACTCACTTGAAGAATATGGAATTACTCACCTTTCCATTTCCGTAATTCGAGACGAATCCCGAAAGCCTTTTGCGAAGGGGTTGCTGTCGATTTTCAACTTTGTTATCTATAAGAGAAATGCATGTGTATATGTATGTATGTATACTGAGAAGTAAGATACAAGAACATATAGCTGGTGAAATTACAACTATGTTACTATAACTTAACCAAAATCTAAAACAATCTACACTTTCTTCAATTACTGCAATATTAATTTTCAGAATTTGTAGAGCACGTTGGAGGACTTTAGACAAAAACTGTTCTTGTACTACTAGCTCTGATTGGAGGACTTTAGACAAAAACTGTTCTTGTACTACTAGCTCTGATTGGAGGACTTTAGACAAAAACTGTTCTTGTATTACTAGCTCTGATTGGAGGACTTTAGACAAAACCTCTTCTTGTACTACTAGCTCTGATTGGAGGACTTTAGACAAAAACTCTTCTTGTACTACTAGCTCTGATTGGAGGACTTTAGACAAAAACTCTTCTTGTACTACTAGCTTTGATTGGAGGATTTTAGACAAAAACTCTTCTTGTACTACTAGCTCTGATTGGAGGATTTTAGACAAAAACTCTTCTTGTACTACTAGCTCTGATTGGAGGAGTTTAGATAAAAACTGTTCTTGTACTACTAGCTCTGACTGGAGGACTTTAGACAAAACTGTTCTTGTATTACTAGCTCTGATGAAACCGTAATGGCGAACGTTGGCTGGAATAAAAAGTTTTATTTATCATTATCTGGAAAATAAAGGTCGCTTTGTTTTTTTCTAGCTTTATATTAATATTTATTTTAAACGTACCTATATACATTAACACAAAAATACTCTGTTCTTGGTATAAAATAAAGAATTATAGAAATAAAGCTATAAGTATCTGATTAAAGTTTGTCAGGTTTTTGACACTTCGTGTATTATATAAGTTTTAATGTATTAATACAAAGTGATATTTATGATGCAGTGTCGAACTTCAAACTTCAGCTGTAATATTTATAAATTGAAGTAAAAGTGTTTGGATAGTTCATCTTCTATATATATTTTACGTTAACTATTTAAATTGTCTAATGCGTGTAAGTCAGTTGCACTCAAAATATGTTGTATTAACAATTTCAAGGGAAGACAGGATTTATATTCAGTAAATTTGTAAATATTATCAGCTCAGATGGGCTTAGTGAGGATGATCTGCAATTCGCGTCCCGTTGCCGCAACATCGCGTTCCTTCTTTCAGTTTGGTTTGAATTTCGCGCAAAGACACACGAGGGTTATCTGCGCTAGCCGTCTCTAAATCAGCAGTGATAAATTAGAGGGAAGGCAGCTATTCAACACCAACCACCGCCAACTCTTGGGCTACTCTTTTACCAACGAATAGTGGGATTGGCCGTCACATCATAACACCCCCACGGTTGAAAGGGGGAGCATGTTCGGTGAAGGGGATTCGAACCCGTGATCCCAAGATTGCGATTCGAGTGCCTTAACCACCAGACCATAGCAAATGACTGAAGAAGCCATAAGAGAGTACCTTCTGATAAGAACGACGTTCACAGCGTTAACCAACTGGGTGGTAAGGACATGTGATATAAAGTCCAAAAAGAAAGAAACAAACTTGAAATTATATACAGACTGACTTTTATGGACAGGTTTTGGCTTTATGTACATTTCTATCAGTTTTGGTATGGTGGGTCTTTGGTATGCCAAAATATTCCTGATAGACATAGTGCTGTGTACTGGTAGATAATTGGCCATGAGCCAAATAGTTGCATACATATGTGTTAGGGCAACATGCCCTTACATTATCATATACAGTTTGTTCTTATAAAACCCGACTAGCCCTCTATATCTAAATACTCCAATTACCTAACAAAGGCCTGTGTATTTTACATTGTTTTTGGATGTAAGTTACTGATCTATTATTCTAAAAGTTGTAGAAAGAAATAGTTCACTGACTTTATTTATTCATCTGGTACTACATCCACGTGCAACGAACTCAGAAGCCTAGTTCTGATAAGAACTAGTGCTTAGAGTATCGGGACTGTGAATCTAATGGTTCAGTGTTCGCGTCCCGCTGCAGCAGAAACGCACTCCACGCTTTTGAGGCGTAAGTACACTTAAATAGTAACAGACAAATCCCACTATTTGCAGATAAGAGTAGCTCAAGAATTGACGTTAGAAGCTGCTGACTAGTTGCCTTCCCTCCAGCCCAGAATTAAGCTATGCGCAGGTAGCCCTTGTGTAGCTTTGCAAGAAAATTCTAAAAATAATAATAATAATGACATAGTTTGAACTGGCTGTTGTTGTTCCAGTCTGAAAAATATTCGCCATATGCACAAATCTTCGTTTTCAGGAGCCTATACACAATACAAAATCGCGTTCAAATACACCCGTATATCTGTGATGGGGTAACTTAAAAACGAACAGCTGTAATTAATTGTCGATATAACGTTATGTCTAAAAAGCGAGCTATGTTCAGAAATTTGGAAGGCTTTCAGAAAGTTTTCAAAATGACTTTGTAGTTGGTTTGTTTGAAGCTAACCATAAAACTACACAATGGGCTATCTGTGCTCTGCCCACCACGGGTATCGAACCCCAGTTTCTTGTAGTTTAGAATATTTACAATTTAAATCGCTTTTCTAATATTTTAGTTGAGAACATTGATATTCAAATCTAATCTGATAAACTTCGTTTGTTTTTTACTAACCATAAAACTACACAGTGGGTTATCTGTGCTCCGCCCTTCTCGAGTATCCAAGCCCGAGTTCTAGCAATATAAGCCCCCAGATTTATAGCCACTCCAATGTGGGGATATCGATAAGTCATTTCTTTCATTTTGAAAATTTTAGTTTCTGAATTTCTATTTTACCTAAACACACTTGTATACAATAAACGTTTTTACTAAACACACTTGTATACAATAAACGTTTTTCAAAAACACACTTGTACACAATAAACGTTTTTACTACACACACTTGTATACAATAAACGTTTTTCAAAAACAGACTTATATACAATAAATGTTTTTACTAAACACACTAGTATACAATAAACATTTTTACAAAACAGACTTATATACAATAAACGTTTTTACTAAACACACTAGTATACAATAAACGTTTTTTACTAAACACACTTGTATACAATAAACGATTTTACTAAACACACTTGTATACAATAAACGTTTTTACTAAACACACTTGTATACAATAAACGCTTTTGCTAAACACACTTGTATACAATAAACGATTTTACTAAACACACTTGTATACAATAAACGATTTTACTAAACACACTTGTATACAATAAGCGTTTTTCAAAAACACACTTGTATACAATAAACGATTTTACTAAACACACTTGTATACAATAAACGATTTTACTAAACACACTTGTATACAATAAACGTTTTTACAAAACACACTTATATACAATAAACGTTTTTACTAAACACACTAGTATACAATAAACGTTTTTTACTAAACATACTTGTATACAATAAACGATTTTACTAAACACACTTGTATACAATAAACTATTTTACTAAACACACTTGTATACAATAAACGTTTTTAATGTTTAAATATGGAAAAGTTTAACAACTGAAACAACTTTTTCCACTTTTCTTAACCATGTACATTTGTAGATTTGACATCATTATCGTTAAAATGTTCTCGTTTAAAATATCAATATTTAACTCCAGTCTTTTAGCATATGAATATTTTAAATCCAGTCTTTTAGCACGTCAGTATTTAATTCTACTCTTTTAACATATCAGTATTTAACTCCAGTCTTTCAACATATCAATATTTAACTCCAGTCTTTTAACATATCAGTATTTAACTCCAGTCTTTCAACATATCAATATTTAACTCCAGTCTTTTAACATATCAATATTTAACTCCATTCTTTTAACATATCAGTATTTGAATCCAGTCTTTTAACATATCAGTATTTAACTCCAGTATTTTAACATATCAATATTTAAATCCAGTCTTTTAACACATCAATATTTAAATCCAGTCTTTTAACATATCAGTATTTAACTCCAGTCTTTTAACATATGAATATTTAAATCCAGTCTTTTAACATATCAGTATTTAACTCCAGTCTTTTAACATATGAATATTTAAATCCAGTCTTTTAACATATCAATATTCAACTCCAGTCTTTTAACATATTAATATTTAACTCCAGTCTTTTAGTATATGAATATTTAAATCCAGTCTTTTAACATATCAATATTCAAATCCAGTCTTTTAACATATTAATATTCAAATTCAGTCTTTTAACATATCAATATTTAAATCCAGTCTTTTAGCACATCAGTATTTAACTCCAGCCTTTTAACTTACAATATTTGACTCCAGTGTTTTAACATATCAGTATTTAAATCCAGTCTTTTAACATATCAGTATTCAAATCTAGGCTTTCGGAATATTAGCATTCATATCAATTCTTTTTAGCTTTAAACTAAGCTAGTAAAAAACCAATTTTGAAGAAATGTACACAAAGAACGTTAGGACGTTAGGTAGATAACGTGAGTGATAATAGAATAGTACTTTCGCTTTTACTTAATGGATACATTTCAGCGGTTTGTGCGCTATCTTTGTACACTGTATTTAATTATGTAATATAAATTGTTGCCGTAAAGAAAAAAGTAAGAGACAAAACCTTTTTTAGGGTTGAACCACAGCAACGTGATTTTCAAATGGTTTTTCCCCCTCCCTCACACATTATACAGACCAATTACGTTCATTTGAAACATACATTTCAGTTTAGTAAAATTGATAAAAGTTTTTATCAACCATTCTTACAATTTGCCTTTTCACTTGTCCTTGAAGCATGACCGTGTCGCATAAAATGAATTTTCACTGTCGCTGTAAATGTGGCTAGCGTCCTTCATTGTTGATAACGTACGTTTACTTACTGGGTCTGTATTACTTGTGATATGGACGACTTTCTCTACAAAAAAACTGTGTTATCGTTATTTCTTTTTCTGTTTAGATATATAAACATATACACGTATATATATATATATATATTGAGGGTCAAATCCATGTTGTTCCAGGCACTGTGCCGC